TAGACTGCTACGTCTCAGTTTTTTGTTACACGCTTTTGAAGTTTGAAGGTCTACTGAGTACTTTAAACATAATTGTTTGGGTTTATTCTTTATAAAAAATATAATAATTAATAATTTGCAAACATCGAGATAATTTTTGTTATATTTGCGGTAGATATACTCTACCTATTGAAAAAATAAAAATAATGTCTATTTTAGAAGAAGCGAATACATTGTATTTTAGTGCGGGTTGTTAAAATTTAAACACATACTGGACACCACATTTTGTGTGTAAATCATGCCAAAGTGCTTTGTTAGGATGATATAAAGGAGAAAAAGGAAGCTATGCTTACTGCATTTCACGCAATATACCTATGTGAAGATGTCTCTAAAACTTCATTTTCTTGATTCTCATCTAAATTTCTTCGCGGAAAACTTGGGAGCCGTGTCAGATGAGCACGAGAGATTCCATCAGGAAATAAAAACAGTGGATGAACAATTTAAAGGAAAACCAAAAAAAAAAAAAAAATCCGTGAAACTAATCATGTTGAACATTCCAGAAAACATGAATACGCAATATATACTTAATATGCACTTAAATCTATTATTCTAAAGTTAAAAATTAATTTCAATTAAAAATAAAATTTGAAATAATATTGAAATGTTGTGTTATGTTAGACGTTGTGTATATTTAAGCGTGAAATTGTGGTCTGAGAGAGTTTTGTTGCATAAGAGCCCTCCTAATTTTTCATGAGGAACATTTTTGCTGAAAATTTTTTAGGTTTTAGATCAACCATTTAACTGCAGGTTTTAATTGAAAAATTAACGATTTTTTTACTTTTTTTGTACGGTGGCGCCCTCTAGATTGTCTACAATTGTAAATTATACCCAAAATTCGAATTCCTTGTCCCCAAAAACCACCGGATACGAAGTTTAAGCCAAAACGGTACACAAAAACCAAGGTTTACAATGTTTCATTGATGCTTAAACCACTCCGTAGACCTTCAAACTTCAACTGTGTGTAACAAAAAACTAAGACGTAGCAGTCTACTACTTTCTTCGGATAAATAGAGGACAATCTCCTCTTTCCGAAAATTACTATCTCATCACTGCGGAAAAAATTAAGTCGTAATTTGTTGTACTGTGTAATTTATGGGATACCATAATAACAAGTAAGGAAAGGTTAAGTTCAGGTGCAACAGAGGATTGCTCAAAGGCGGGGAAATAATTCTAGGTGTTGCAAAACATTATATTAAACAAGTAAGGAACGGCTAAGTTCGGGTGTAACCGAACATTTTTACTTTTGCAACTTGCAGGAATCAAATGCCTTCAGGTACTGGCAAAACTTTATAAAATGTTGCCAAAGAATTTAACATTCATTATTCGAAGAAATCGAGAATAAGTTACAATCAAATTTGGTATCGTCTTGACATACAAGTATATTGATAATCATTGGACTTTATTTTATTGCTATATTTTAGTTCCCGTCTGTTAAAACTACAAGTATATTAAAAACGTATTCAAATGAGATATATGTATGTAACATTAACTCGACCGAAAGGGACTAAGTTTAATAAACTTGCATATTGAGTTGTTGTGGAAAACATCAACCAGAAGATTGGAATTCATCATTTTAGGGATATGACATATATACCATTGTCTAGACCAATTCTATTCTTATTCAGCGTTAAACCACAAAATTTTTAAGAAAACTTGTCCATATAATTTCATTAAAATTTTGACCAACCTGAGGGTTTAAAATCATGTGGAACGACGGATATCATTATATCGGGTATATTGGGGGCAGAGAAATGGAAGGGCTGATTGCATTAATTTGGACATTGCTCAGGTATACTTGAGAACATGCGAGCATTCGCCATAAAACGTGTTAGCAAAATTGTAAATCTTCATATGTAGTATTTGGGTTTGGGGATAGTATTGACCGGATTTTTTCTATTTTTGCCAATATCACTTATTATTAACATGCCACAGACTAATAAAATTCCCCAGGGTTTCATTCAGGTACCTCACATACCATCACCAATTGTGGTCCGATTTCCTACATTTTCGCACTGTGATTATATATCGAATCTTGTTTGAAATCGATATACCAGGCTCCGAGATATGTGAATTCACTTAAATGTGGTTGGTTCCCCGTCCATCGACCAATTTTGACACCGGCTCTTGTAAAGCTGTTTTGTGTCATCCTGGACGAAAATTTAATGTCTCTGACTCAATGATTTATCATACTTTTAGTAGTTTTTAACAAAACCGTTGTATGTGGAGTGGGCAGGGTTAGCATCCGATTGCATTTATTTTCACACTATTGTAAGAAGGGTTAAAAAAATGTGCCCTGTGCAAATTTGGGTGATATAACGTTATTGGTTTGGAAGATATATACATTAAACTTATTAGGAGGCGAGGCCACGAATAGTTGTAAAAGTTATTCAAACCGCAGGTGCCCTCCTTAAAGTTAATCGTTGTGCCAAATTTGAGTTCTGTATTTGCGGCTGGGTTAAATTTTAAATATATTTTTTTTCAAATAACATATTTTTAACCAATTGTGCGTTAAAATTTACATCAATTTCGTACTCGAATGCAGTATCTTCTTGATCAATTAGGTCATTCAAATAAGCGTTCAATTAACCGGGGGTGATTTAAGCAGGGGATACTGTATATATTTACTACAAGAAGATATCTGGAGGAAACTTAGTGCACGTGTTCCTTGGCACCTATGGGGGGCTGGTATTGTAGACTGGCGGAAACGTGCATTGTCACGCACAAACAACTCCATTAAACGAAAATATATTAAGTGCCATAACTCCCCAATAAGATACACAATTTTTTTTTTGGATCGTAGGATAGGGGCATCTGTGCCCGTAATAGGATTAATTTACATATCTCCCAAACCACTATAGGTAAATCAACCACATTTGCTTGGAACAAATATTTTCGGTATTCCCTCCGACGATGTGAAAATGAAGGAAATCATATAAAAATCACGCCCACTCCCCACATAACGGTTATGTTGAAAACTACTTAAAGTGCGATAACTCACTAAATATGTGCTACAGAAACGATAAACTTTACACATAAAATTGTATCAAAGGGTTTTATAGAAGCCGGTATCAAAAATTTACAATGGGCATGGCACCGCCCATCCCATATCTCAAGACCTGCTCGACCAATTTTAAATTCGGTAGGTATAATAATATATTATTGAAATTTGGTGATAATATTTTGCTGATAATATTATACCCTTGCGTTAAAAATGGGTCAATACTTTTCTTAGCCCCCATATACTCGTACCTAATATAAATATTTTTGAACTTTCGGTTGGTTTTATACGCATACTCGTATACCGGCTAATATCTGAATTATCTTAAATAAATTAATGTATTTTTATACCATATATATCGTTCCATTTGTGAGATACCTTAGCAATATTAAGTAAACGTATAATATTGGATATATTATAGTTTAATGCAGATAATGGGTAAAATTGGTACCAGAATGTGCGATGCGTCACGCGAACCAATACTTTGGTAATAAATTGTACGAGTTATGTTCCGGAGTACGTATGTTCATTATGAAATGGCAAACCAAGTGAGTATAAATCAAGTAATAGCTGTCAACCGACCAACTCCGAAAAAGTACTGCCTCATTGAAAACTGCACATATAAAGAAAAACCTTTATATGGTAAGCTGAGGCAATTTGTTGACCAAATTTATTTATATTTGGCATTAAACTATAATACATCTTATTTATTGACCGATATATACGGTATAAATGCAACAGGAAGTTCGAAAAACTTTATAGTAGGAATATGGGGGCTAGAGAGAGTATTGACTCGATTTTTAATACGAGGATACGTTATTGTCAAGAAAAGAGTCTCTCTAAACTTCAATGACATATCTCACCGGGTAACCGATATTTTCTCACAGCCATAGGCATTGAGGTCCACATATTCGGTGTCTCGATACTTGAAGGGTTATGATTCGATTATGAAGCGCAAAGTTTTAACCCAATATTTTCTTTGGTGCTTGATTTGTATACGGTAAAGTGGATTTCACAACATATAAATATTCGTATAAAGTTATGGACAGGTTGTGATTGATCAAGTCGCGATCAAAATACAATCAGGAAACGTTTGTAATGTGATATGTGGTATAACGGTGCAGGCAGGAAGAGAGTAGAAGACCTTCTGCAGGAATAAACGGATAACTGTGCAAATTTGTACGTCGTTCCGTAGGAGCTTAATTATGGTTCTTTATAAGAGTTAAGTTTGGTGGCATTTTGTGGGAATGGCGGTATTCCGATTAAGCCGATCTGCGTTACAAACATCCCTTGTGTTGCAACATGTTGAGTGTAGAAAGGTAAAAATATACCATATCTATGTGGGCATCTAAAATAACTATTTATGCGTTAGGATATCATACATAATTTTATGAAATTATTCAGAATCGGACAAAGAAGTAGTGGTTATAACGTTGTAAATCTTGATAAGGTATGAAGAATTCGCAAATTTACAAGTTACTATTACAAAGAGTAAACAAGACAGAAGTAAAGAAATGGAGAACTATCAGAAATAAGCTGAGAAAAAATTTAATATCTTTTTAATAATCATATTATATCAGCACTTGAAAATTGCTCAATAGAATATTTATTTTCACAATTGAAAAGTATTAAAAGATAGAAGTATTACAGAAATAGCAGCTATGTATCTCTGTATCTTACGCTCTCACCTTGTGCTCTCCTCTGCTAGTTTTTTGGATTAAGAAACGTTTTTCCAGCAGAAGCTTTGCTATTTACTGATACTTAAGAAACTTATTTATTTAAATCAAGTTTGTGAACTTCTACTATAAAAATATATTTTTTGTCTCAATTTATCATATTTTCATTGTACCTAATATTCATCAGCACTTACGACGAAAGTACAATTGATTTAAAATCTTGCTTCTTATATTGCTTTGGTGTTTAAGGCTTGAATTGATTAATTATTAAAAATAAGGAGACTTACTGGCAAATCTGGGATCATTTGTAGTAGATCCATACCAAGACGCCGAACCTCTCATATCAGAATAATGTCCTGCTAATGAAAGATTATCTGCTGGCCCGCAATAACTTTGGACTCCTGGACTATGATAAAGTGAACCCATCGCGTAGGGATTTGCCATTGTCGAAGATCCTAATGTATTAGGTGAAGTGATACTACTTTCACTGGAATTCGTTCTAAAATAAAATATTTTATTTATAATTGTTTGGTGATATATTTTTTTAAATTTTATATTAATTTAGATATTATAATAAATTTGATAATATTATAAATATTATACGATAGTAAATAAATGAATAAATAAATTTTAGCAAGTGAAAAGTGAGAACAAAAGTTACTGGTCAGCGTATGTTGGCGATAAATTTGCAATAGTCATACAGTAATATAAATGAAGTTATTTAAAACAAGTAAGGAAGGGCTAAGTTCGGATATAACCGAACATTTTATACTCTCGCAAAGTCAAATGGTATACTCGTTTGAGATTTCTTTGTGGATTGACTGATATTTTCGGTAGAAGGTCAACTATAGGCACTGAGGTCCACATATTTAGTACTTACGGGCTTGAACAGTTTTGAAAATGATTGAAATTGGATTATAACCCTGGCTTCTCTCCATATAACGGTTTTGTAAAAACTACTAAAAGCGCGATAAATCATAACTTCTTGCAGGCCATTCAATGTCACGATTTCTTAAAATTTTCAAATCAACCAAATGTTGTCAAGATAAACTTCTTCCAATTGTGGCCAAAAAAGTTTGGTTATCATCGATCACCGTTCTCCATTGACAGTAACGGTGTTACCAGCTTTATATCGAAAGAAGTACGGGTCGATCATTCCACCAGACCAAAAAAACAAAACAAAAAAGTGAACCTCATCGGAGAAGATGATTTTCTTTAAAAAATCGTTAGTGTTTTCAAGTTGTTCCAAGCCAAAATCAGCAAATTCACGACGTTAACGGTGGTCCGATGGCTTCAGTTCTTGAGTGAGAACAATTTTATATGGATGAAAGCCCAAATCCTTTCTCAAAATCCGGAGGGTTGTGATTTAAGACAGTCTCAATTCTTGAGAACGTCTTGGAATCGATAAATTGCGATCTTCAGCAACACTTGCTTAAACAGTAGCAATATTTTTATTACTTCAAGCGGTTCTTTGTCTTATTGGCACTTTTTAAAAATGGCAAAAACGATACTTCAAAATCATATCATCCCCAAAAACCCGATAATAATATAAACCTAATACAAAGTTATTTTTGAACTTCCGTCTGACTTTATTTCGCAAATATCGGACAATATGTGAGTTATCTGAATAAAATTGAGTGAGCGTGTTTTTTAAACAATGGTGCATCTTTGTGACTAAAATGGATATAACAGTTTTTTCACGATTTTGAAACATCCGGCTTACTTTACTCCATATATTATATGTATGTATATTGGTGATAGTGAGTGAGTGAGGTACCTTAATGAAACTTAAAGAGCATCTTTTTCTGTTAATAATATGTTGCAAGAGTATGAAATGTTCGGTTACACCATTTCATAAATTCACCAACAGCGCGCATGGAAGAGCTTGTCGAAACTTTTTGCAGTACAGGTTCCAGTTTGTGGTTCTACGGTCCCGATAAGATTTTCTAGCGGGCATTCTCCGTCTATAATTGACCGATGTTTCTATGGATATGAACAATTTCTTCGGAGTTTGTATCATTACCTTAGACAATAATACGTGCCAAATTTTTGAACATATCTCGTCAAATGAAAAAGTTTTCAATACAAGCATTTGATTTCGATCGTTCAGTTTGAAAGGCAGCTAAAGTGATCCGATGAAAGTTTTCAATACAAGCTCTTTATTCCTATGGTTCAGACTCTAAGTGTGCAAAATTCAGATCGATATCTCAAAAAATTAGGGACTAGTTCGCGTATATACAGATTAGGGTCCTTTTCCTAACTAACAAAACCAACCAACCAGATTTCACGATGGGATAGTGAAAAGTTAAAAAAAATAGCGCCCTAATGTAGACCCTATAAAAGTTGATGGTTTCATTTGTATTCTAGAATGACTTAAGACCTTAAGGATGGCACCTGCCAATCTGATTATGTTTTAAAAATGTTGCGAATGGATTAAACATTCGTTATTCAACAGAAGCGTGAATGGATAACGAATATATTTGGTATCTTCTGAACTTATATTATAGATCATAAGGGACTCACCTACTTTAATTTATTTCGTATCAGCGATAATTATATGAAAACCATCCCTAAATGAGATATAAATATAAAAAACTTAAGTTAAGTAAGATATAAACTCAACCGCAAGGGCTTAATTTAGTATGTTTGATTGATATGAAAAAATGCAACCAGAGGACCGGAATTCCTTAAATTAGGGATTAGAGGTTTTCACCAAGATCTAGACCAATGCCATTCAAATTTAACATAATGTTTAAGAAAATTTGTGCACTTAATACGGTTTAAAGTCAGCTGGAAATTCGAGAAGCATTACATCGGGTATATTTTGGTTAAGGAAAGTCTAGACTGATGGCGTTAACGTTTAGCATTACTCAAATTATCATCAATCTACGCAATTTTGTGAAAATAATTATAAAAATTAGACATAAAGTCGGCTACAATACCGAAAATCGTCATATGTAGTAGAAACTGTGAGAATTTATGGAATTAAAATTTTCTTATGCTATCTTATATATTGATCGATATATACTGTATAAAGACCGGGAAGCTTTAAATTATAATATCATATAATTTAGTTATATCAAAGCTATGTGTAGTAATGACCCGATTTTTCAAATTTTTGGCATTACGACATTTCGAAAAAGACATGATCTCTGAGTTTTATTAAAATACCTCAATTATTGACCAATATAAAAGGAGTAAAGTCAACTAGAGTTTTGAAAATTCATATATTAGTTACATATATGGGGGCTAGGGCAAGTGTTTACCCAAGTTTAACAATTTTAAGCACAAAGATTAATTGTTATTGGAAAAACACGCTCCCTCAAATGCATTAATATAACTCACATATTAACCGATATATGCGGTATAAAGTCGAATGGAAATTCGAAAATCTTTATATTCTTGGGCGTAAAATATCTGACGTGTTTAGTTTGTAAATTATCTCGTTTTTAGCAGTTTTCCGTAGTAGTGGTCCGATTCTGATACTGAACTTCATATGAAATTCAGACAGTCACCCGCATTTCAACCCGAATCGTCGTTCTAATCATGTATATATAGTATATATAACTCTATATTTATCTAGATTAGTTCAAGGTGTTACAAACAACAGTTAGTTGTAACAACTTGTTGCGATAGTATAATGATCAGCATGACGAGCTGAGTGTATTTAGCCATGTCCGTCTGTCTGTATATACGCCAACTAGTCCCTCATATTCATTCATCGCTCTGAAATTTTGTACACGGAACCACAAATTAATCGTAACCGCCGATATCGGATCACGATAGCATATTGTTGCCATACAAAATGAACGATCCAAATCAAGTTCTTGCATCGAAAACCTTTTTATTTAGCAAGATATCTTCTCAAAACTTGGCAGGAATTATTGTGCTGAACAAATTGTTTGTAAGTTGGTAACTTTTTTCAGTGGCACTGATAGGCCACTGATAGGCACTGCAAACAAAAACAAAATGAGCATCAACTATCCATGCTGTCATTTGATTAACAAATTTACTTAAACACATCCTTAAAGAAAATGAAAACAACACGTGTGACTAAATAATAAATATGGTTTAAAAACACGCTTTTAAAGCACTTCAAACTAATAAGTGAAAAATAATTCTTAATATAAACTGACATTAATATTGACCGAAAAATACTAGTACTATTGTGAGAAAAGCATGGGGTGCTTTGTGCCATATTTTTCGTATATCGAGCATACCACACTTTTCTCGCAAATATTACATTTATAAGTTATTTTCTGATGTTACATTACATTATTGCTATTAAATATTCCATTTTTTACAATCCAATGCCGTTTTTGCCAAAAGTAGAGCATGTTTACTTAGATATTCGAGTATGGGAAAATATATTTAGTACTTTCTTAGAGACAATGCTTCCCTATACTATATTCATGTATTTTTAATAAAGTCTATGTTGTTTTAAGTCATATTTACCTAAAGGGTGATGGTGGACTGCAATTTAACTCCAGTTTCCGATACGAGTCCTCAATTGGACTTAAAATATCTGTTACACTAAAAGGCGTGGAATGCGTGCTGTTAAATATGACGCTAGGTTGTTGATTTGACAAACTTTGCATATGATGAATATTAGAAAAATTATGTTGGTGAATCAACGTAGTTGAAGGTGCTGAATTAGGATGTGTGGAAAGCCCCGAAGAAATGGTGTGCTTCAATAAATGTTGTTCCAGCTCATGTTGATGGGTTATTTCCCCTGAAGATAATATCTTTGAAGATGAGTTCATAACCAACTTGACGCCATTAATAACACTGGGCACGTTGTCAATATAAACTGATTTAAGTTATTCTGCAATTAATTCTGAGTGACTTAATAATGTTTCTCTTAATGATGACTGCATGCGCGATATAGATAGAGTTTAAAAATTTGGTAGTAAAGCCGTTTTCTGAAAAAGTAATAGATCAGGTAATATTTGTATTTATAATTCTATTTATTATTTATGTAACATGTTCATGTTAGGATATACGCCTATAACAATCCAACAATGTGGAAACATTTATTTTACTAAACAAATTTAAGAAATATTGTTCACATTTATTTTTTTAGATATTTGGTCTCGGTTTGATTTTTATTTGTGACGTAATTTGTTTTAAATTTTTAGTATATAATTTAAACTCTTAAAGACCTACTTAAAAATTAAAATTTAAGCACGATATCAAAAAACAGCTTCTTTGCAATTAAACAGTTTATTTCACATATCTGCTAGATAATATATATATAAGTATATATCTATATATAAAACCGTAGTCATCCCCTACACTATTAGCTAACCTATATACTGGAGTCCCAACCGATCTCAAGACACATCAAAAAGGCCAACCTTAATGCAGCAGGTGAAGAGAACTCTGGTCAGGAAACAGCGTATACTGATCGCCAGAAGTAGCCCTCAGGTCAGTGATTCCCATCCTGAAAATACAAATCCGTCTAAGACTACGTCATTATAGATGCTACACCTGTTGGAAGCATCCTCAGACAGTCTTAATTAATCTTTGTCTTGAATATAAACTCTGTGGAAGACATTGCAGTCATTCGCTGAAGTCTTTCGAAATTATGTGGCAAATTCAAGAAACGTTTATTATGAAGAAGCTCCCAGACTGCTTAAGAATAACTTTCCACTAGGGAGACGTGCCTGTAATATCCTCCGGCTGGGCGGTTCAATAACGTCAAATGTTGGGATAAATATAAAATTACATTTAGTAGATATTTGTAAGTACATGCTTATAATAACCAAAGGTAACTCGTGGCATATAAGCTACGAAGTTAGTGTAAGTGGTACAACAAAAAATAAAGGAATTTTATCAGAAACCATAAGCAGATAACACTAATTATTAATAACGAATGTTTCAGGAGTATACCTGGAAAATCCAGTAAAAAATTGTTAGATACATATTTTCTGCGGTCTAATGTGATACATTCTTAACCGAATCCGCTTAATATTTCCTAACAGTAGAGATTTGTGACCGTTTTGTTCCTTTCCAGGCAGCTTATGTATGTAACACATTGTGAATCCTCAAAAATGGACGTAATCACCTTACCAATTGGTAAGGAGTTAGTGCAACCTTGTTCGGAGCAAGTTCTACTGTTTCGACTGTTCCTTGGTGTTGAAATTATAAAGTAAAAGTACAAGTAAAAATATTTCGTAAAAGGGCTTTCTTCGATATGTAGATAGTATGAAAAGACAATTATATTATATAAATACAATATATATGTATGTACAGATAGAATTAAATATTAATTTGAGTTACTCTTGACTAAACAATTGAAGTAAAAGCACGTCGTGTTCTTTTTAATAAACTGTAGAAGTGATCGGACCCGAGACTTTTATTTTATTCCGGCCAACTGCAGTACAGTAAGCATTTTCAACAGGTTATGGGCCCAGAGAATAGGTCGGAATAAATATAAACTGTACGATTCGATTTCGCGTGTGTCGCATAACGTGTTTGTCACTTTGGAGTATGAGTAAATAGAAAAGTTGGATGATACCAACTATGATACGTGGTGCATACACATGCAATGTGTTCTGGTACATGCAGACATTTGGGCAGTGGTTAGTGGTCATTTTGCTAAGCCAGAGGATGCGTTATTGTTGGCCTAGTGGAAAGTCGAAAACGAGAAGGCTTTGGCAACATTTATGTTAAATGTAAAACCATCACAATTAGGATACGTAAAGAACTGTACCAGTGCATTAGAAGCATGGGAAAAGCTAAAAAATATGTATAAGCCCAGTGGCCCAATACGAAAAGTAAGCTTATACAAACGGCTGCTCAGCCTCAGTATGACTGAACGTGTGTCAATGGTTTAACATATACAGGAGATTTTTAGCGTTTCAGATAAGTTGGCAGAGCTAGATATCAAGTTAAGTGATGAGTTGCTGGTTGTCATTTTGTTATCCAGTTTGTCGAGAAATTTCGAGAATTTCGTGATTGCGATGGAGACGCGTGATTCATTTCCAACGTTTGAAATAATAAAGGTGAAGCTGTTGGAAGAGTTCGACAGGCAATCTCACAAGGAGAAGGAAGGCGTCGGAGTGGTCAGTCAGCAAGTTTTTTTCGCAAATTCCCAAGGGGAAAACAAGACTTCGAAGAAAAAGTTCAGTGGAAAGTGTTTTAACTGTGGCAAGTGTGGGCATATGGCATCAAAATGTAAAGCGCCGAAAAAGGACAAAAACGTTGGTTCTAATGACCAGTGTTCATTTGCAGTGTTAGCGGCAACAGACGTATCATGTTTCCGAAGATCTTCGTGGTGCATTGATAGTAGTGCGTCTACTCACATATGCAGTGAACGAAGTATGTTTATTTCTCTCAGAGAAAATAAAGAGAGAGTGATGCTAGCATCGGAAAAATACGTAAACGCTGTAGGCGTAGGAACGGTCGTAATTAATGCAAACTGCAAAATATATTTAAAAGATGTGTTATTTGTGCCGACAATGGCGGGAAACTTTATATCTGTTGAAAAAGCAATAATTAATGGTGTGACTGTTAGTTTTGAAAATGATTGATCCAAAGGGATATAATCTTTATATTAGGTCAAGTAAAAAGTTCGTTCGGTTTTTATCTAAGAGATGGCGTTATTGTCCATAGTATTAGTGCTACATGTCGCATCATGTCATACTATACGGCGCTGAAAATGTGTTTAATCGCGCTAAAAGTCTTTGACAGGTTTTCGATAGATTTACTCAGTTCGTTGTGAGCGCTCGTTAAAGATGGACACCAGCAAAGAGAAAATTCGCTATATTTTACAACTTTTCTTCGATCAAGGCGAAAAAGCAGCCAAAGCGGCTGAAAAAATTAATTTTGTTTATGGGCCAGATACTGTAAACGAACATGTAGCACAAAAGTGGTTTGCTAGGTACCGTTCCGGTAATTTCGATGTCAAAGATGCACCACGCGTCGGGAGACCTGTCATCGAAAATTGCAATAAAAACATGGAAATAGTGGAAAGACCGTCACGTGAGCACTTATTTAATTGCTGAGGAACTAAAGATAAGCCAGAAAACCATTTGGAACCATTTGCATAACCTTAGATTCAAAAAGAAGCTCGATGTTTGGGTGCCACACGAACTAACGCAAAAAAACATGATGGACCGAATTTCCATCTGCGAATCGCTGCTGAATCGCAACGAAATTTGCCCGTTTCTGAAGCAGATAGTGACTGGCGATGAGAAATGGGTCACTTACGACAACATCGAGCGCAAACAGTCGTGGTCAAAGCTCGGGGAAGCGGCCCAGACGGTGGCTAAGACCGGATTGACGGCCAGAAAGGTTTTGCTGTGTGTTTGGTGGGATTGGCAAGGAATCATCTACTACGAGCTGCTCATCTATGGCCAAACGCTCAATTCGGCCCTCTACTGCCAACAACTGGACCGCTTGTAGGCAGCACTCATCCAGAAGAGGCCATCTTTGATCAACAGAGGCCGAATTGTGTTCCATCACGACAACGCCAGGCCACACACGTCTTTGGTGACGTGCCAGAAGCTCCGGGAGCTCGGATGGGAGGTCCTAATGCACCCACCTTATAGTCCGGACCTGGCACCAAGTGATTACCATCTTTTCCTGTCCATGGCGAACGCGCTTAATGGTAAGAAGTTGGTCTCAAGAGAGGCCTGTTAAAATTGGCTCTCCGAGTTTTTTTGCCAATAGGAGCGCAGCCTTCTACGAGAGGGGTATAATGAAATTGGCATCTCGTTGGTTACAAGTTTACGAACAAAACGGCCTATATTTGACTTAAATCCGACAAATGTACACAAAGTTATTATCTTTTGAAAAATCAATAAAAAACCAAATGAACTTTTTACTTGACCAATAATTTGCACATTACCCGTTTCTGTTCCAAGTGGTGAACGTTCGTTTAGCGCTTAGCAGGGATCCGAAATCATCGATTACGCTCGTGACAGGGCAGGATTTCAGTACTAGCAACACTGTGCCTAGCATTCGCTGCCGAATACATTATACATTACTGATTTTCAAAATCGTACAAAACAAAACATAGGAATGTCAGTATAATATATCATACCAAGTTTGATCGATATTGATCGAGCAGGTTCTCAGACATGGGTTTTCACCTAAATGTGGGCGGAGCAACGCCCAACGTCTTATTTTGACCCCGGCCCTTATAAAGCCCTCTCGTACCATCAGGGGTATAAAATTTATTATCTCTGTCGTGTTTATTTATTGATTTATTGCACTTCTACTAGTTTTTAACAGACCGCTATATAAGCAAGGGGTGTGGTTTTACAGTGTCGGTAGGGGCTTAAGGGATTTGTATTGAGCGAATTTGGTTATAGTGCCTTAAATGATTTAGGATATATGGTATGTACATTAAACCTCTTAGAGGACGAGGCGACGCCAATTTTTTCAATAGTTTTACGTACAGGTGCCTCTTGTTGTTGCGATCTCCATGCCAAACACTATTTTATGTCTTGATTTAGCGCTTAGTTATGGCATTTTATACATCATATATGTACAAGAGAAAACACAGAAAATTAAAAGTCAATGGGGAGTGTTTGTTATCATTCAAAAGAACATTCTTTCGCATTTATTTTTTAAAGATTATCACTTTCAAATATTGGCCGCGTCTACGTATCAGATGGTTCATCCGTTGAGTCCAATTTTCGATGAGGCGTTCGAACATTTGACTGCTAACTGACGAATGACACTCGAATTATATATGTATTTTTATTTTGTGCCTTTTAGTTATATAGAAAACCACTTGATTTTTAGCGTTCTTCAATCAGACTGCCTCTCGCATCAAATCGGCAACTCGAGCTTGCTGCTATGTCCGGCTGTACCGCACATTCCAGCAAGCTCAAAATATGCTGAGTCTGCTGTTTGGGTCACGTATTGGCGTATCATGCGCTGTGGTACAGTGATGTTATACATAACTCGC